ATCCTTGAATTCATGACAGAGGCTGTAATCTGCTCCATATTATTCCCCTTCCTAATCCTTGGGCTTTCCAAGACCTTCCTTTCAGTCTTTTTTTTTTTTTTTCCTTTTACTATTGCAGACATCTTCCCTGGACCATCTCTTGGACATTGCAGCCATGACCAGACCTTTTCCCTAGTTAGACACATTCATTCAGGAGCTGTCTAGGTGGGACACTGGTTCATATCCCAGCAATGAATGTAATCACAGTAATATTTGTTATCTTTGTGACAGGACTGTTTCTTTAGACCTCACTTGAATATGTTTTCTCTCGAATTTTTTGTTCCTGATAATTTGAGCAAGCAGTTCCAATTTAGATGCTTTTCTCTACACTTTGTCATCAGACTTGTAGAGTTTATGAACAGGGCATCAGCTGGAATGGCCTTGTCCCCATGTGTCCACAGCATAGGCAAGGTCAACTCAAGGCTGGAGTCTCCTACCACAGGTTTCTCTCTTGTGACCTCCCCCAGCTGAGACCTTCCCCTTTCATTGCACAGCTGTCACTGCCCAGATGTGATTGTCCCATACACCTCTCCCTGCCCCTCTTCCTGCTCCTCTCCCTGCACATTCCTGGGGCCATGCTGACCCATGTGCAGGATGCGACCTTCCCTGCTGCACAGGGGCTTCTCCTGCCAAGCACTTGTGAAGTGATACAGACATCAGATCAAAAGATGCTTCCAAGCACTTCCCAGGGTGGTGGGAACAAGGAGCTCTGCTTCAGGGAGCAACACTTTTGATGTTTGTGTGCCTGCATGGCTCAGGTGAGAGACAAATGCCTCTTGGCTCCACAGGGTCTGATATTTTCCTCTTGCAGCACAACTTAGTGATGGTGGATGCTTTTCCCCAAACCAGCCCTGACTCCCCCTCCCTGAAAGCTGGCAGCAGCTCCCAGGAATTTACCCTGCAAGTTGGACCCTCTGCCATGTGTAGATCTTGGGGTCTCTCTGTAAAGGGGTGCATGAACCTGTGGCCAAAATCCCAAGGCAGAGGATGAAACCCTTTTCCCTGCCTCTCCTGTGAGAGCTCACACCCTGCGCTGCTGCCCGGCATCGCTGTGTGCTGCTGGAGCAGCTCTGCCCGCCCGGGGCTGGCTGTGTGTCAGAGGTGTGCAAAGTGGTCCTGCTGCTGGCAGATCTGCAGATCCTTCTGGACAAAAGGGGGGCTAGAAAAATGTCAGCTCATCATTTTCAGCGAGCTGGAGTGCTGTTCTGGTAATAGGGAGCGGGGCGGTGCATGCCTCAGCGCGGGCCTGCGGATCGATACCGAGATCAGAGGCAGGAGTGGACGTCGGAGCTTGTGATGACTGAGCAGATATTGGACCACGGATCTGTTTCTGGTCATGCCCTGAGGGGCTGTGGTGTTTGCTGGCCCCAGGAGGCAAGCAGTACGCTGGGGAACCATTACCTGGGAAGAAGGGTGTCAAGGGGAAAGATTGTTCCCAAGGGACGGCCAGCCTGAGAGTGAGATGCTAAAGGCAGCCGTGTAGGCGGGAAGAGAAGAATCACAAACCAAACAGCTGCCTTCCCTTCCCTCTGTCTGTAGCCAGGAGCCCCTCCAACACCTCCCAGCCCTGCTCCTTTGTCTGGAATGAGTGTTTTGGTAGCAACTCCTGTCCCTATGCAGAGGACAGCTGGGGTGGAGGAGATGAGGAGGTTTCTGCCAAGGAACTATTTTTTCCTTGTGGCTGAGTGCATCCCATGGAATTTCTGGAGGCTCTCAAAGGCCAGAGGGAACCCAGCCCCTTAGCCCCCATGGGACAGAGTTCTTACAGGAAGCCCTGATTTCATCCTTCATGGAGATGCTTCTTAAAAGAGCAATTTGCCAGCATCCCTCACAGCAATAACACAAGGCCTCTGCTTGAGATACCATCTCTGTGCTCTGACAGTCCCATCACTCATGCCCTGCTCCTGTCTCCCTCTTCTACAGGGACAGGAGTGAGGGATGGAGGCAGAGATGGAGGCAGGGATGGTGCATTCTCACTACGGGCAGGTCCCAACTACTCCTGTCCTCTTCTGGGTCCGAGTGTGCAAATGGTAGCAGCACCAGGGGCCACCCAGCTCTGGTATGGGGTGAAGGCTGGTGGCCCATCTGCTCTCTGCTGTCATTGCAGTCTCTTCTCCCAGTGAACTCTCCAATCCCCCTGGCAGCCTGTACCAGGGAGGATGAACAGCCCCACAGTTTCTTTCTTCTCCTGCCTATCTTCCGCTTGCCCTCCGGGCACCCAGCTGGATGCTCCCGCTCCTCCCATTCCCCCCGCTGTGCCCGGCCACGTTTCCTCCCGAAGAGCAGCTTTATCTATTAGTGGCAGAGGAAGCCGTGGCTTGGCACAAAATCTTCTCATCAGCTGCTGAAGCGGGGCCTTCCTGGCACCAGGTGGCAGAGTGGGGTGGCTGTGTCATGGGGTCGGGTGGGCTCCTGGTCCCCTACACCCGGGACAGCTGTCCCAGGAGACCTCCCCAACTTTCTGTGGGTTAAACCTTGTCTTTGCAAGCAGAGTGCAAAGCTGGTAATTGCCTGAGGTTGCAGATGACCCTAAAGCCTCTCTGACTGGATTTGTGCTTCATTAGCAGCTGTACTCTGCTCCTGGCCAAGGGGTGATCCTGTGCCCTGGGGGACAGAGGGACAAGGTGCTCCATTCATGCAGCCCCAATCAAGCAGTGCCACCCTGGTCCTTCCAGATGACAGGGGCGTCCCTGAGGTCCTGGAGCAGGTCTGCCCAGAGGAGAGCCTGGCTGTGCTGTGGGACTGCAGTCTGTCCCCAAGGTGTCTGTGTGCCCCCTGAACACATCCCCCTTGTGACTGGCCCTGCAGCGACACACCAGGGTAGGCTGATGGCCTCACACTGGTTTCACCTGTGACTGTGTGATTGATGTCATGTACTACGAGGAGTTTGTGACTTTGCACCAGCTCCAGGATAAAGGAAGTCCTGGTCTCATCCTGGGCACTGGTTTTTCAGGTCGTGTGACATCCCTGTCCCCTGTGCTGCTGAGCCACAAGAATTACATCTCTCTCACAGGGATGGGGAAACTGAGGCAGGGAGTAGAAAATATGCCTGGCTGTTTTCCTCCCTGGTGAGTTCATACAGGTGGCTGAGGATGGGAGCTGCTGCTCATGGGAGTGGGGACCTACCAACCCCCCACTCCGTGCTCCTCTCCCTTGCAGTGCCAGACACTTCAGTGACCTCTTTTGCTCCAAGTGTTTCAGTTAGGTAATTTGAAGCGGGTGGGGCTCAGGGTGAAAGCAGCCCTCCCACCTCGATGTTTATTCTCTAGCCAAAAGCTCCAGCCTCTCCTGGGGAGCCATGACAAGAGGAACCCTGCTGAAACTGCCCGGCACCCCAGAAGATCCGTGGGAGCAGGACTGATGCTCCAGAATGTGCAGTCCCTTGCACATCACTGCCACTCCCAGGGCTTCTGACGTGGCTGGGCAGCAATGGGTGAGGACTTGCCCGAGTATGATCCCTGCTCGTGTCCCGCTGGGACGGGCTCCCTGTGTGCATGGCTATGGGCAGCCTGCTCCCCGCTGAGGGGTATGGGTGCCTGAATTCCAGTTGCAAATTCTCCCTGCAGCTGCTATTTTCCCCCTCTTCCTTGCCCTCCCCCTTCTTTCCCCTTCCCTCCCCCCACAGTCCAGTTGCCTCTTCTGGACTAGGATGATTCGGGATGTGTAACAGAGCCTGGAGCTGTTGGCTCAGTTCGTACTGTCTCTCCTCCCCTTGCAAAGCCCTGTGCCTGGCAGAAGTAGACCCTTGAAATATTTGGAGTCCTACACCTGTAATTCCTCCCTTCACCCGTGCTCCTGCCTGCAGCACCATCCCTTTATCACTCTGTCTCTGTGCAGAGGAGCAGAGACATGAAACTATTGGGGAGGAAAAAAAAAAAAAAAAGGCATGCAGAAAAGCGCTGTGGAAAAGCAGAGCAAATTAAGCAGAGCTCTGATCTGCTTGGGTTTGTGCTTGCCAAAAATGCACCATGCATCTTAATTCGCTCTGCTGTTCAGCTCGCACTCACTGCTCTCCTGATGCCATTTCGGCGCTCTGAGCTCAGCCTTTTCAACACTTCAGTCTTCCTCTTTCAGGATTTTTTTTTTTTTTTTTGCATGTCTGATTGCAGAATCTGCTGCAGGAGGGAAGGGGGAAGCCAGGGGAGAGAGGACGGGAGCCCCGACCCTGAGTGCTCCTGCCTGCGCTTCCCGGCAGCCGGCTGGGTCCCCGATGCATTTTTTTAGGGGGTGGGAGGGTGCGTCTTTTCTAGAAAGTCCCTCCTGGGTGCTCTCCAGTCGCTTTTTTCCCACCCAGCCGTCTGATCTGCCTCTCGCTAGGATCCTCTCGCTAAAGAGGAAAAAAAAAAAAAAAAGATTTAAATTGCTGTAATCCACACTGGCTTTTATTCTCTTCCAGTTCAGTTTAATCTCTCTTTCCTCTCCACCCTTATGTCCGGGTTGGGGGGGGGGGAGGAGAACCCACCCAACAACCAAGCGAAAGGCAGCATCGTCCTCCAAAAGAGCTTGAGAAAGCAGGAGCCGAGCCAGAGTCCCTCTGCTTTCCCCCACCACAAATTTAACCCCAGCTTCAACTTTTCTTCTGCTACCGGAGCTGAGCTGGGCTCCAGCAGTGCTGGGGTGGGTTTTTCCCCTCTCTCCCCCCTTCCTCCTACATTGATTTTAGAAAGGAGGGAGGGGGGTGGGGAATCCTTTTTATTGCGGAGCCCGGTTCTCTTTGCAAGCCTTCCTCCTCCTCTTCCTCCTCCTCCTCCTCTGCTTTTTGTGCCCGCCGCAGCAGGGCTGGCCAGGCCGGGGGAGGGAAGCGATGGGAAGGGGAGATCGCCCCCTCCTCTCCCTCTGTCTGTTTTTTTTGCAGGTGTGTCAATTTTAATTCTGCCCAGTAGGTGGGACTTGGTGACTTTCGCACCGTTTTTGTTATTTATTTATTTCCCCGGCTGCTTCTCTCCCTCCCTCCCCTCCCATCCCTCCCTCCCCAGCCTCCCGTTGCGATCCTCCGGAGCGGCTGCGGGAGCGGCGGGCGGCCGGGCCGGCATGCATCCATCCCCGCCCGCGGCCGCGGCCGCTGCCCTAGCGGGAATTACAGCCTCTCCCAGCCAGCTGCCAGCATGATTTCATCTGCTGGAGGATTTTTGCATCTGATCGCTTGAGGTTTTGTTGTTGTTTTTTTTTTTTTTTTTTTTTTCCCCTCCCTCTGTCTTTGTTTCCTTCCCCCTTTCCCCCCCTTCCCCTCCCTCCATCCCCCCTTTCCTCCTCCTCCTCTTTTTTAGAAGCAGCAATCGGAGATGGATGTCTCTCTTTGCCCTACCAAGTGCACTTTCTGGAGGGTATTTTTGCTCTGGAGCATTTGGGGAGACTATCTGCTTTCGGTGCTGGCTTGCCCTGCTAATTGTCTTTGCAGCAAGACAGACATCAATTGCAAGAAGCCGGATGATGGGAACCTCTTCCCTCTCTTGGAAGGGCAGGATTCAGGCAGCAGCAATGGCAACACGAGCATCAATATCACGGACATCTCAAGGAACATCACTTCCATGTAAGTGGGGGTCCCCCGGGCTCCCCCTCCCGCGGCAGGGTGCGGGCTGGGTCGCCCGTGCGGGGCTCAGGTGCCCCCGCATCGTTGCGCTGTCTGGGCTCAGTCCGACTCCCCGGGCAGAGGACGCAGATCCAGCTTTTCCCTTATTCCATCCTCCCCAAAAAAACATAAAAAGCCCAGCAACAGTTTGGCCAAGGCTTAAGAGGAATAAAGTAAATGAGATCTGATTCCTTAGCAGGAGAGAGAGCAGCAGGCAAAGATGCTAAAGCTGCTGCTTCCTTTAACTGTTTGCTTCTGCAAGGGGAGGGGGGACACTACGCCACACATCGCCACATATTTATCCAAATTGGGCAAGAAAAGCAAGTTCTGAGCTGCTTTTCCCTTCTCGAGACTTTGGATCTGGTTAGAATATCATTATTTTTTACATCCCCACATCAGAAAATGCTCCCTTCCCTGAGTGTATCTGGGGATCTGCGGTTTCGCCTTTTTAATGGGAGGGGAAAAAAAAAATAGGACAGTGAGATGTCCCTTAAGTAGCTTATTTAACTCGCATTGTTATAATTTTGCAACTTGTCGTGGTGCTGCGATAGGATTTGTGCGTTTTCGGCTCGGGGTGGTGGTGGTGGTGGTGGGGGTGTGGTGAAGCATCGGAGCAGGGAGATATTTTTAGTTGAGCACTTTGCGTTTGTTTGCATGCTTGTTTATCTGGAAAATCAACTTGAAGTTGCATTATCCTTCTTTGGAGAGGCAGTTAGCAAAGCCCATGTTAATCTCATCAGCGTGGAGTCGAGAAAGGAATATATTTCCTTCTCCTGAATCCATCATGCTGTATGTGTGTGAAAAAAAAAAAAATTCCTCATCACTTCCAATCTCTGCTCTTTATTTTCCAGTACATTTTTGGGTGAGATGAACTCTGAGCCATTTCATTATTCTAATGCTAATTGAAATGTGAGCATTTAGGGAAATGTAGCCCCCAGAGCAAGTTGCCAGTGGGAGTTGAGGAGAGAAGAGGTGGAATCCTTTATTCTGGCAGTTAAATGCAGCAAGGTTTGAAATGAGTAATGGAGGGTTATTTATTTATTTATTTTCCCCACCTCGATGGCACGGTTGCATGGAGGGAGAGGGCTTTGGGTCTCTTCCTGAGGCTGTTTTATTTGGTCACAGTGCAATTGCAGCAGAGCCATGGAGTAATTGCAGTGCCTCTTTCGCAGCTCTGCTCGTCACCTTTGCTGGATAAAGATGACGGGAGCTGCTTTTCCCGCTTGCTTACAGGTTCATGCAATGCCCAGGCAGGTTTTCAGCAGGTACCACTGACCCTGAACACCTAACCCTTCCTTCCCCTTGCCAGCAACCCCCTACAAGCCCAGCAGGAATGGGGAAAGTAAGTGGGGAAAACTAGTGCAATGCTCCCCTTCCAATTGCCCCATATTTATCCTGCATCGTGGTGGTGGAGTGTTTTCTCTGCGATGCTGGAGGGATGGGGGTGATGCTGGGGAAGTCGGAGAAACTCGTGTTTTTTCCCTGTGCTCGCTGTTTGTTGTGGTTTAGTTTTAACTCTTTGGGGACTGGGGAGCAGCAGGAAAGGATGGGAAGGGTTTGGAAGCCACCAGCGTAAGTGTGCTTTGTCAGATGCACAGACACATCTGAACTGCTGAGAGAGGTAGTATTACATGAGTCCTTTGTACCCAGAAAATGTCTTTACTGATTTGAAATTAAAAAATGCTGATAAGCAGTCCATAAAAAGGAGAGGGGCAAAAAAACTGCCCAAAATGGACAACTCCAGAAACAAATATTGGGTATTTTTGTGGAGAGATGCTTCTCTTAAGTTGAGGAAGGAGAAGAAGGTGCCAGTTTTGCTGGAATTTGTATGCATCTCTGCTCCACACTGAGCAAAGCACATTCACTCACCCCCTGCATGGCTTCTGGCCCCACACCTTCCTCCTCAGGCTTTGTTGGGGCTGAGGCACAGGACTGGGGTGAACCCCAGAATGCCGTGGGGGGCTGAGACTGATCACGAGTGAAAACTTTCCCCAAGGGTCCGTGCTTACGGGGAAGGCAGCAGTGGTTTGTAGGGGATGCTTATGGGAGCAGAGGGATGGTTTGCGTGGCGGGGATGCTTCCCAGCAAAGGAGTCACTGCTGGGATCTAGGGTTGAACCATGTTCATCCTCTTGTCTGGGAGGCATCAGGTCCTGCACCCTTCCAGGCTGATGTCAGGCCTCTCCTTGACAGCCCTGACATCGTGGGTGCTGGGGTGAGGGGTGCCTCGAAGCCCAGCCTGGTCATCGCTGAATCACTCCTGGCATGCGAGTCTAATTCAGCTGGGCACTGAGCAGTGTTTCCTCCTGCCTGCCGTGCTCACCGGGGGCTTGGCCTCCTTGGGCAGCTTACCTTGTTTGTGGGCAGCCAGTGGGCAAAAACACCTCCTCCCACTGGAGCAGGGGGTGAGTAGGGGAGGCTCAGCCCTATCCCTGTGGCTGGGGGATGCGATGCCCCAGATGGGTCCTCCCCATGGGGAAGGTGGTGGTTGCTGCTCCATCTTGTTGCTGGTGAAAAAGCAGATGGAGTGTGGGGCGGTGAAACAGCCCCGGGACCAAGCAGAGCCTTATTCATGTCCAAAAGACAGCTCAGCTCTGAAATCGGGGCTTGGGTGTTGCTGATGAAAGACTGCCAGAGCCCGTTCAGAGGGCTGGAAAAGGAAAATGTGAGCCATCTTGGAGGGCTTGTCTGTCTTACCCACTTGAGCAAGACCCCTCCATGCCAGCCCACCCCAACCCAGCATTGGGGGCTAAGCCATCAGGAGCTTTGGGTTTTATCACTTCTCAGCAGCTGATGAGAACCTGGAGGCAAGAATGACAGAAGAGAGACAGGAGACACCCAGCCTGTAGTGCTGCCCACAGAGGCTGGCAGGGCAGGCCAGCCCAGTGAGTGCCCACAGTGTGGTACCCCACCATTGAGCCTCCCATTGCATCCCTCAAATGAATGGCCTTTGCTTCAGTTGCTGGTGCTTCTGGCTTCCCACCCATCCTCCTTTTGGTAAAAGTGGAGCAGTCAGGGCTTGGTGGCTCCTGCCCTGGATGGGCTGGAGGGAATGGTGACACTCAACTTCCATGGAAATCCAAGCAGTGCCAAGTTAATGGTGAAGCAGGGAAAGGGTAGGAGGTTGCTGCCCTGAGATGGAATAGGAGGTTGGGTTGGCTGATTTCCCTCTGCCCTTTCCCAGCATGCCCAGAAGTTTACCCAATTTTGGATTGCATCCCTGGAGACGCGACTCCTCTCACAGATCCCCGTGAGAGCTGCCAGTGGCCCTATCCAGCTGTGAGGCCAACTTGGCCAATTTGGAGTCATGCTCTGTATTTCGTCCTCCTGATTTTGGGAGAGGACACCATGGGGATGGGGTATGGCCATGCTATTGCTTTTCCTGGTGCAGCTGGGTGGCCTTTGCTGTGTCCCAACCCAGGTGCGACTTACAGAGATGCTCAAGCTCCCCCCAGTCCATCCTCACCCCTGCGATGTGGGGCTCCGTTCACTGCAAGACCTCCCTAAAAAGACCGGCTGCACATGGAGAACTTTGACCCTGCGGGATCCTGCAGCACGGAGCCCCTCGTGCCCCTGTGCACTGAGCAGCTGGGGTCTTTGTCACTCTGGGTCCCCCACCGTGGCACTGTGAGGGGCTGGCTGGCACACGGGGAAGCCGGGCCCGGCTGTGCCGCCGTGTGTCAGGGTGACGGTGGGTGCCGTGTCCCCGGGGTGGGCCGGGCCGGGGAGTTACCCTTCTGGCAGCGTGGGCAGCTCCTGCGTGCGCCGGCACCGTGCGTGGGGAAGGACAGACGGAGGAGTTTGCCATCTGGGCCTCCCTACTTCTCAGCTGTTGCTATGGCACTGCAGAGATGCTGCTAGGCAGGCGATGGTGGCCTGCGTTTGTCACCCCTGGGCTCCCTCAAGGTGGGGAGATGTCCCTGGTATGTAAAACCTTGCTCCTCGCCCAGCCTCACCAGGGGAGGATGGGGATTCCTGTGGTAAAATAGCCTCCAAGGGTGGATTTTCAGGGTGTATCTATGCGGTTCGTAGCTGCTTTCAACAAGGTGAGATGAATTCAGAGCAACCCAAGAGGAGGTGGCTTATTGTGAAGCACTGTGGGGTGCGGGATTTTGGGGTCTCGCAGGGCCAAGAGGAAGCATCTTGCCCCCTTCCATGGACAAGAAGAGCATCCTCATTCTCTCCTATTGGGCTGTCCCAGCAGCCCCCGGCAGCATCCGCTCCATGCCGTGGGCCTGGCCGGGGGTGGGAGAGCCACGTCAGAGCTGGGTGCTGTGGGGGGAGCGGCAGCGCAGCCCCCACTCGCTGCGCGGGAGCCGGGAGCATGTGGAGAGGGGGAGAGCGAGGGGGTGCTCAGAGCAGCAGCACCCCTTCAGTGCCGGTGTGGGGAGAGCTGAGGCACCCCTAATGCTCCTGTGTGCTTGCATCTGGGAAGGAGGGGAGAGAGAAAGGGCAGGCATCTTCCTGGAAGGGCCGGAGGGAGCAGGACTTGCTTTGGTGACCCAAACAGCTGAGAAAAGGCCTCCTGTGATGCTCAAGTTGGTGACTGCTCTGCTTCAGAGAGTGGGCACAAACTTTTCCCCTCTGTGTGAATCAGCCACAGTGTGTCCTGTGTGCCTTGTGTGCTACTTCTCTCCAGAGATGAAGGGCTCTGCATTCCCAAAGCCTCCCATCTCCTGGTCCCAGAGGCTTTGGCTGCTGCAGAGGCCATTCAAAAGGTCTCTAATTCCATCCAGCTTGGATTTCCTGGGCTCTTGTTCACGCAGAGCAGCTGTCCTGAAGGATGTTAGGATGGGGGAAGTGGGTGCAGCACAAGACTGTGGGGACAGAAGAGGATGCAGAGATGTTTGGGACAAAGAGGTGGTCTGACATACATGGTTTTGATGCTCTGGAGGTGACTTAAGTCAGAAGCACTGTTACCTCTGTATCCTTGCCCTTTCCTATGAGCTGGCTGTTGGCTCC